AGAGTGTCTCTGCAGCACTGGTTTGGTACTGGTGGTGAAAATAATGCTCGGGCAGATAGAAATCACTGGAAGATCCAGCTGTGAACATCTATTATTTCCCTTCATACGGACAAACATAAGTGTCTCTCAGGTACCATTTGATTTCAAACTGTCAGCTGAAATTTGTGCAGATGATGATGATGACACCAGCAGGACTATTGAAAAATATGTTTTTAAATAAAAATGCCATTTCTCCTTGGCAGATTGAAACAGCACAGAAACACCATGGAACCATTTTCAAGGCCAATGCTCTTACAATATTCAAGGTGCCACTCTCCTCAAAATACATTTTTGTGCAAGAGGCCCTGCAAGTGTGATTGATCACTGATGCCCAGATGTGTGTCACCCACAGCCTGCAATGACAGCAGGAAGCAAAGGGGCAAATCCAGGATGGGGAAAGGCAGGTTTAGGTGGGATATCAGGAATTCCTCCTGGAAGGGTGGCACAGGTGCCCAGAGCAGCCGGGGCTGCCCCTGGATCCCTGGCAGTGCCCAAGGCCAAGTTAGACATTGGGAACAGCCTGGGACAGTGGAAGGTGTCCCTGCCCATGGGGTGGAATCAGATCTGTGAGAATTTAGGGCTTTGCTCTGGTTACCCTGGAAGGCTTGGGACCTTGGCAGAGGGTCAGGAACCCCCCTGTATAGAGCCTTGAGAGACACTGTCTGTGATCTCTGTCCATGGAAAAGAGTTTTCAATCTTACAGGATGAATTACCAGCTGTGAGTGTTTGATATCAGTCATAATTAAGTGTGGCACGGGTGCAAAAGTAAAATTTTAGGATTCTAGATGAGGGGTCCAAAGGGGACAGGATGGAGGAAATTGGGTGTGCCTTGTCCTTTTTCTCCTTCTTCATGCCCTCCATGTCTCACTGTGGTGTTGGCATTTTTCTGTTGGTTCAGGCTGGGGACACACTGTCCAACGTAGGTGACAGATATTGGCACGTTCTTGTAAATGCAGCCCAGGGAGTTTCTGGTATTTAATGTTTGTCACATCCCACTGAGGGCAGAGCCCCACACGCTGCCCTGCAGGACAGAGCTGGGCAGGGCAGCAGAACATGTGAGAGATAAACAGAATAAACAACCTGGAAACCAGCACAGACCAATTATGGCTTCTGCTTTGGCAGGGGGCTGACAGACAGAGACTTTTACAATCTCAGAATCATCAATACCACAGATTCCAGCAAGATCTTTAAGGTCTCTTCCAACCCAAACCACTGATCTGCAGTAGGACAAAAATCTAATTTTGGTGTTGCACTTGTTTAACTTTGCTTTGCTTTGAAGGTATAAAACGCTTCCCAAGCCAAATACGTAAAATTAATTCTTACAGTTCCCTGAAAAAATGGCATGTTGCTATTCAAGAGCTGCAGAAGAGAAGCAATCACAGCATCCAAATATTTCTGGCATCTGAGACTCTCCCCATGCCATGTTATTCATGAAGCAGAGCCCTGCTGGAACTTGCAGGTCTCCAAATGGCAATACAAGAGACACGAGCGAAAATTTGCAAGTCTAAACACTCATGACATTATTCGGTGAAGGATTTGTCACAGCCAACACTGAGCAATAACTTGGGATCTATTTTTCCATGATCTAATATTATTTCCTATCAGCATGTCAAAACTCTGACACAATATGCTGTGAGCTGAATTGATCCGTGCCCTTCAAATCCTGCCTCATTCAGGGATTAAACCTACATTTATCAGGGAGTTGTATGAAGAGGGAGGACAAATCCTTGCTGCTTTATCCATGTAGGAACATCCCTGCCATACTGCATGAAACAGGAACACAGAGCACACAAGGCTAATTAGGAATAAAGCAGATTTTCCTTGCAATTTCCAAGCAACAGCTCATCAGCTCCACAAGATTCTTGTTATTTATTTAAGTTCTCTTGGGTTATGGTCACATTCCCCATGGGAATAATGCAGCAGCAAGTACACCAATGTAAAACTAATGCTGTGTTTTTTCAGGCAAACTAAAATTTGTTGAAACGTTCAAATAACCATCAAGCAAATCTTCACTTCTACCATTAAAAATCGTCTTTTTCTCTGCGTATAAAGCAGTTTTAAACCACCCCAGACAACAAAAAAGGGCCATGCCTCATTGCCTGCTCCTCTCTCAAAGAGCAGAAATACCTCATAAATCCAAAATCAATGTCAGCTGAGGAAAACTGACTACTAAACAAATATAAATCACAATATACAGGAACAGAAATAACGGCTGAAGACAAGCTACACAATAATCACAATACAGTACAGTAGTAACAGGAGGTAAAACTCTACAGGAACTCAGATTTGCTTTACTGAGGGCTTTGTCACTCGTTAGATACCAATTTTGGAACAAAATCAGTAGCAGAGAAAAATCATTTTTAGATCTCCATATGTCTAGCTTTTCCCATTCTTGGCAGAATGGGCAAAAATTAGCATCACATGAATGTTTTTTAACCAGCTGCACATTAACTGTGTCCAACATTAAGTCTGGGATATTGAGATGTTTGTTGGATCGACAGCCCTTTAAAACCATTAAAGACATCACAGTAACACAGTAAAAAGTCGAAATAGCTGTAGATTTTAGTGCAATTTAAAGGTCGCAACAACTGGAAAACTAGCAGGAGAGCTACATAAATTTTTATTTTATTTTAGTGGGTGAGGTGATTTACTGATTTTTGGTGGCAAAAAAAGGGGTATTTTAACAGGTTCCTTGCAACAGAATTCAAAGATCCAGAAACATGGCCATGCAGAACGATGACAGATGACTATCTTAATTATCCAAACATCACTGCTCAATTATGATACAACTTAGGGTATTTAACATAAAACTGGCCTGGATCAGAAAAACATTTGGGGGAAAATTCTTCACACTCAAATCCAATCATTTTTCAAACCTTCCACTCAGTAAATCCCAAACAAGACTGCTAAAAAAGGGAGTTTTATTTAAATTCCAGAAAGGGGAAATGTGGTAACTCTAAAGGAAGTATTGGAGTGCTTTGAGATTTGTAAATGGAGTTTCAGTGTTGGTTTAATGCTGGATGTCCACAGCCCACAGGAGCTGGAACTGCACACTCAAAGGACAAAACCACTGCTAACTGCAGGAATAATCTGCTCCCCTTTGAAAAGGGACATTCATACAACTCATGTAAATATCTGTGCTCAAGATAAGCAATGAAAAAAATACGATAAATTGCAGAAGGGAAGCAATTTTCTTTTGCCATACTATGAGCTGGCATTTCTTTGGGGATGAGCATTGGTTTCTATTGTAACTGGGATGCTGTACAGGGAGGAATAATTACTATTTAATCAAGTCTCTTCTTGCAAACTCTTTACAGAGAATGCAAGAAATAAGTGCAATTAAGTTAGCAAGCTCTTAGAAACTGCACAACACACCAGAAAACAAAAGCAGAGTATTTTGGGGGCTACAGGGGGAGAGGAAACAAGCTGGTGGAGGAAGTTTTTAGAATTAGCACTGTCTGGAATTATTTGATAGCTCAGCGCAATAAATACAGACTCCAAGTTAAAAAAAAAAAAAGTCAGATCACTGATCTGGAAAGGGCTGAACATCCCTCAGGCCAGGTCAGCTGGTCCTAAACCATCTCTGCTCTTCCTAACAAACCACTTCTGCTTCCTGGCTGGATGTTTTATCCCAGACTTCCTGCCCTGCATCCCACCCTGCGTGTTTGATGTCACCTTGCTGCAGCTTTATTTCAGTGAAGAAAGGAGAGGGGTGTTTTTCTACCTTGCCCCATGTCTCCAGTAAACTTTCAACAGTTAATCCTCCAATTCTCAGACAGATTAAACGATCTGAAGTAATTCTGGTACCAGTCCTCAATCCCATTTGGTAATTCTGGGAGGGCTCAGTTCTGTTTTTGCATGAATACCACAATTACTGTGGGGGTGTCAATCATCTCCCATCTGCTGACTGCAAGAGGAATTCTCACCTCTTCCAACCACTGTTCTCAGCACCACGAGCACGTCTGGCATCACCTTCTGTTCCACACCTCAAACTTAAACCTTGCCAGAGTCAGGCAGCGTTGCCTCAGCTTGGCCATCACCTCTGGGTGTAAACCCACACACAGGGCACAGCTGGAGGAACAGCTGGGGCAGAGAAGGAAGATGTGATCATTCTAATTCTTACACATAGCTGGGAGAATGACCCATTTCCTCGGCTGCTGAAAGACAAAGCTGTTGCAAGGCTATAAAGATGATTTAAGTGTACGTATCAGTTTGGAGGGGAAAAAATTCTGCAAGCTCAGACAGTTGTAAAATTGCCACTTTATGGCTGTGTCTGCTTGGACTCTGCCAAATTTATGAGGCCACAACACCTATATTATTGAATATAATGTCTAGCTTTTATTACCTTGTCTTTGCAATCAGATCTAATGTTGAACATCACAGCCCTTCAATAATGAAACTCCGTATCAATTAAAAACAATAAAACCAGTTCCTTTCAGATATTACTTGAGGCTCAATAGCAATTAGTCAAAAACTGAAGATGTAGAACGAGGTAAGAAATGCACTTGCAACTTTTGGTCCACCAAGAATCCATATATCCACTTTTCTCACCCCCTCAGTGCAGCAGTGGTTTAAATTACACAGCATCATTCCATCCCACCACAGAATGTCTTGATTGCAAGAACACAGGCAGACAGCAGCACTGCTCAAGACAACCATTTACTCTCTGCTATTCTCTGCTCACAGGGAAAACTGGATTCATTGAGGCTCAGCAATTGTGAAATTGGGCAGAATGTAACTCCAGAAGATACTCCATTAATTATAGGAAATCCCATAAAAATCAGACACATTAAGTGCCCAGAAATTACTAGGAATGAGAAAGGCATTTCAAGATAGAAGTAAATCCTCTTAAATACTTCCCCCCTCCTTTGTTTTTGGTTTCTTTCTTTTGCTATAATTGTGATTTTAGCCTCTCCAGGGATGCTGCCCAGCCCCACCACCCACCCCGAGGTCCCCCTTACCTCCAGCCCGGGGAGGGGTCCCACAGAGCAGCACGACGCCCTGGCCTTCGCGCACCGACACCGCGCTCCTCATCCTCGTCCTGGAGCTCTCCACATCTGCAGGGAACAGCAGCGAGCAGGACATCAGGAAACATCAACAGGCAGGACACTGACACTGAAATCCTGGCACTCCCAAATCCTGAAACTCCCAAATTCTGACACTCTCAAATCCTGGCACTCCCAAATCCTGACACTCCCAAATCCTGAAACTCCCAAATCCTGACACTCTGAAATCTTGGCACTCCCAAATCCTGACACTCTGAAATCCTGGCACTCCAAAATCCTGACATTCCCAAATCATGACACTCTGAAATCCTGGCACTCCCAAATCCTGACACTCCGAAATCCGGACACTCCCAAATCATGACACTCTCAAATCCTGGCACTCCCAAATCCTGACACTTCCAAATCCTGACACTCCCAAATCCTGACACTTCCAAATCCTGGCACTCCCAAATCCTGGCACTCCCAAATCCTAGCACTTCCAAATCCTGGCACTTCCAAATCCTGACACTCTGAAATCCTGACACTCTGAAATCCTGACACTCTCAAATCCTGACACTTCCAGATCCTGACACTCCCAAATCCTGGCACTCCCAAATCCTGACTCCCATCTCTTGGTCTCAGCTGGACTCGGTGCAGCCCCTGCAGAAGAAAAGGCTGCCTGGCACGAGGGAGGATGACAGAAGTAGGGCTGAAGGGACTTAATCTGCACTGAGATAATTGATCAGATCCTGTGGCTAATTTTGGTTTTATGCCTGGCTTCTGCTACCCTGACTTTGATAACCAAAAGTGGGCCAATGACTTAATAATACATCCTTAATCCACTGTTTCTTTGGAGATGAAGGCTATGACGAACACAGCATCAAGCTCCCATGTCCAGTGCAAAATAACAGTAATAACAGCTATTCAGAAAACAGATATGGATCCTTCCCAAGAGCAAGGAAGCTCCTGGAAAATTCCTGCAGGAGAATCCCCTGGAGCATCACTAAGTCAGAGCTTTGCACCTCGGTGTGTTGACCCAGCGCTCTGCTCTGACTGGCCTCGGTCTCTGGGATTATTTTAAACTGTGTAAGGATCACAGGACACCCTGAGGTGGAAGGGATTATTGAGTCCATTCCCTGGCCTTGCACAGGCTACCCCAAAAACCACACACAGAATGGAACAGCACTTCTTGGGGTGGGGGGAAGCAAACACTTCCGTTTCCGTAAATGTAAATATTTTATCAGAAATTTATGATAGGAAAACCAATAGGTTTTCCCTCTACCTGGTGAGTCAAGACCGAAAGAAAATTGGGCCCCATTACACCCTTAAACTAAGCTAAATGAAACATGTAATACAAGCCAAGATCAAAGTTCTATAGTAACAAAAGCTTTTCCATAAATAAGCCATACGTTTTTTTCCATAACAGAACAGATGACAATTAAAAAAAATTAATTGTTTATAACCTTGTATAAGATGCTAAACTAACACAGTCTTTAAATAAGGTTGTCTTTGTTACTAAGAATAGTAGAAGCAGTGAGTTGACCAACAGCAGCTACTTCCCCAAAATACAGCATTTTTTATTACTGCAAAGCAACAGCTGCTACAGGGAGAACACTGAATAAGAGCGAGCAGAATTTCAATGCTTCCTTTAAAAAAGGCTGCAGTAAGAGAGCGATGTACAATCCCTTGTTAGTGCACATAAAGTTCACAGGAATGTTTCTTAGCCTGTTTTCAGCTTTCCAAGTGAATTTCCACGCAGGTATCCTCAGAATAAACTCAGATCCTTTTGCTGGACATGACAGAGGAGTCACATACAACCCCAGCCAAACTGATTTCACTCAGGGATCAAAACAGCACAGCCTTAAATTATCATTTCAGGCCTTTCCAGCACCTTGCTCTTTCTCCCATAACATTATACATTCATCAGCTGTCCCAACACCATTCCTCAGAGCCAGGGAAGGAAAAGCCAGGAGCTGGCAGCACCTCAGAGAACACTCTGTTTCAGGATGAATCACACCCATAGAACTAATATTTTACATAAAAAATCCATTTAGATTACATTTTGCCCTCTTACATCACAACCATGAGAAGTTATAAATCTTCAATAATACCATTTCCATAAGGGAAATGGGGGTTTTAAGCCCATGTGTTCATTTATTGCAACTAAAGACCTTCAGAACTTTCCTTGTCTTTGTGCTGTCCAACAAATCCTATGGGCAGGATGGGACTGGGCTGGGAGCACCTTGGGAAGGGATGTGGGATGTGCTGGAGGACTGGGAAGGCAATCATCCCAGAGGTACCCAGTGAGGACCCACCACAGCTCTGCAGTTTGGGCTGTTGCAATGTTGCAAAAATTAGAATTATTAAACACTGATTGCAGGTGAAGGCTGTTATCACAGAAAACCAGTTTTTGGAGAAACAAGAAGCAATGCATATCCATCCAAAAATGCAGAACACAAGCCATGCTGCAATAAAAGAATAATTTCCCACAAATTAGGAAGCTCCCCATCCCAACTTCCAGAGCAGCTCAACTACCAGACTCATCACACAGCTGCCAAAACACCAGCACTTAACTTCTCTACAAACTTCTGTCTTCTCTTGTCTGGCAGGGCTTTTTGAACATAATGAAAAATCAGCATGCAAAACAGGAGCTGGGCTCTTCATTAGCATTACAGAGTGGAGCCCCAGTCTCTGACCTTGGAGAGCACTGGCTGCTCCTGAACACGATGCTGGGCTGATTTTCAGGTTCCTGCAGCACATTCAGAGGACTGAAGGTCAAATCCAGGTATGTTTGGAAGTGTATCAAGAGTGATTGTTTATCCTTGAGCTTCTTTGTTGGGTTTTTGTTTGATTTTTAATAAAGCCACTATCCTAAGCACAATAACACCAGGGAGGAGAGCTGTGTCTTCTAATAAAACTTATTATTACATGAACTCATTGGGAAGGGACATGAAGTCCTCAGAGTACATAAAATACCTTAAAAGGTGGGCTAACAATGGCAAAGCTTGTTTACTTTTACAGATTGAATTTATCCCTCTGAAATCTCATCCTGCTGAAATGTCTCAACAGATAAAATATAACTGAAAACAAAGAGCAGAGATCAGGACAGAAGATGCTTTTGAGGAGTGGTGGGTCAGAGCAGGAGATGCTTTCCAGCACCCATGGGATGACAATATCCCACTGAACATGAAAGAAAAGGCCAGAAACACATGAAGTGTTTCTGCATTTTATCTGCTGGCCTAAAGACTGGTTTATTCATCAGCAGATCTTTTAAAACTCTCTCAAACTGGTCACCAAACTGAAGTGTTCTCATTAGTTTCTCTTGCCTTAATCTTTTCACCTCTTCCTTGCATTTATTACACCTCACTTTTCATCTGAAAAGCAACTATTCATGGATAAAATTAACAATTAAATTACTTAACCCTACCAGGAAAAGGCTCTAATCCTGCCACTGAAAATATCTTAGTAAAAATGTTACAAAAATCCTGACTACAAGGGAAAAAAAATCCAACATAAAAACCAAGCTGGAACTGTAATTTGCAAATTAAATGTTTTTATTGCTTGTTTATAGTTTGCCATATAGAAGGAAGTTTAAAATTAGCAGCTGAGGCTTTCTGACTCCTGAAACAGCATTTTCTTCTCCTTTCCCCTGCTAATACATGTATTTGCCTCACTGCTTTAGAACCAAGTCCATAAAGTTGTATCAACTGAAATATACACACCACTGCAATAAAATGGAGAAAAAAACCACAATTCAGCTTTGTTGAAAAGTCTTTGATTCTGTCCAAAATGAGAACAACAAAACGAGTTCCTACCCATACAAAAAGGATGTAAAATCTGCATATCCCACTGGGTTCCCTCCTTTTGTTTAGTAAGCCAAGTTTTCAGCCTCAAGCATTGAGACTCCAAGTGGCTGAACAGATTCCAGAATGTGGAGTGACAGAGATGTGAGTGTCAAACCTGGAACAGCTGCACTGAACACTCCTGTGATACTCAGAACAATGAGAGACATGGATGTGTGGATTCAGGAGGGGAAAACACGACCTGGAACGTCTCTGAAAGGTGAACGAGACTGAGAACAGTGACATTTTAATAAAAGAATAAATCAGAACGAGACTGAGAACAGAGACATTTAAATAAAAGAATAAATCAGAACTCATCTGAGAGCCTGCTGGCCACGTTCCCTGAGAGCATCTCCTGGATGGTTCTGATTCGTGATCTCGTGTATCAGAGAAGGGAGAGATCACATCAGACAGCACAGCCATGCCTTGGAAAGACACAGAGCATCCTAGGAATGAAAAACTCGGAGCATTTCTGATGACAAAGCTGCTCCACACACACAGCTGCTGGCGTGTGGCAGTGCTGAGTTATGTGGTGTTTTGTCATAAACCTGTGTGATATTTTACCCCCAGACACCAGTTCTGTACACGGGAACTTTGTACGATTTGCAGGCAGTGCTGGAACTTACACCAAATCTTATTTATTTTTTTAAGTAATACAAAAAACACATTCACTGTGAGAGGAACAGGATTTAGTTTTCCAACTGTTTTTTTTTTTTTTTAATTCAGGTTTCCGACTCACCCAAGCATCTCATCACACTTACATCAACTGCTCTTTATTATCAACACATGTTTGTTAGCAATTCTACCATGTTTCCAAAACTGCAGAACAAGGATTCAAGCTCTACAAACATAATTGTCCCTTAATAGCCATGAAAATATTTATTGTATTGCTGCACCAGACCCACTGTTATTCAAAGGAGCAGAACTTGTTAAATATACTTTAGGTATAATTCTGTATTGGTAGGATGTTCAAGTGCCTAAATGAGTCAGACAACCAAATCTAAGCTGTTTTCTTGAGTGGGTAATTCTGAAGTGGGGACTCTGTTTGATGTCAGCCCATAATGAAGCACTAATTCACAGCCCACTCGCCCTGGTAAAAGTCACATTATTAAAAAGAACAGAAATTCCACTCTCTCAACTCTTGTGGGCAAATAACAGCCTCAGCACGTTGTAATAGCTATGTTGGTAATGAGAACTGCTGGAGAAAACACAGTAACACCAATTTGTTTC